TATAATATAAAAATAAAAAATAGTAAGCAGTTTAGCCAGCAAAATCAAATTTATTTGGGAATAGCAGAGGAATTGCAATTCAGGAAATGAAAACTATAGGTAAGTCTGGAGAACAGAGGAGGGGAGTTTCTTTTATATAAGAAAGGAGAAAGTTGGGAGAAACAGTTTTGAATGACAGTTCATTGGAGGAGAGTGAGAGTTCAGAATTGTGGCAACTTCTCATTGGCTGGGTTGTTGCTGGGCAAGGAGAAAATCCTCCATCTTCCTGCTGGGGTATGTAAAGCTGTGAAGCGCATGAGAACCCTCCCTTCACCGCTTCCAGCTCCATTTTAGATTAGGTCTCCTTTATTTATTTTCGCAGATTAAATAGTTTTTTGTTTGTTTGTTTGTTTTTAGGCGAGGCAGATTGACCTCACATATTGCAAGGACCTTGTCAATTTACAATTCCTTACTTTTAAATTTTTTCGCCTACAGTACTTGGTCTTCCTAGGTGGTCTCCCATCCAAGTACTAACCAGGCCTGACCTTGCTTAGCTTCCAAGACCAGACGGGATCGAGCTTGTTCAGGGTAGCATGGCCACAGACCAGGCTAAATTGTTTCATCCACACAATGGAACACTATGCAGCCATTAAAAAATGAAGCAGTCTATATGTGCTAAAATTGAACAATCTGCAAAATATAAGTGAGAAGAAAACACAAAGTGAACAGTGTGTTTAGTTATACTACTTATGAAAAGAAAAAACAAATGTTATGTGCTTTTATACACCTAAACTATCTCAGGAAGGATAAAGGAAGGAAACTGGTAACAGAAGTTGCCTCTAGGAAGAGGAAGGGAACTAGAAGAGAGAGATTTTTTTTTTATTAATTGAAGTGTAATACATATATAAATAAGTTCACATATCGTTAGGTATACAGCTCAATTTCACAAAACTGAGTAAAATATCTGAATAACCAATACGTTGATCAAGAAATAGAATATCATCAGCAAGCACCCTAAAAGCAAAAAGGGTAACACACTACCCTGATTCTTAAGAGCTTGAGTTAGTTTTCCCTGTTTTAGTACTTTATATGAATAGAATCATATACGATATACTATTTTGTGTCTGGCTTCTTTTGCTCATTTGACTACAAGATTCACCCATATAATGCATGTGGTTGTAGACCATTCTCATTTCTGAATAGTATTCCACTTAATGAATATCCTATAATTTATTTATTCATTCTACTGTTGCAAATAGTTACTAGTTTTTGGCTATTGCAACTAGTGTTACTGTGAACATTAGAACACATGTCTTCAGTAAACATATGTATGCATTTGTGTTGTTTATACACCTAGAGGTGGAATTGCTGGGTCGTAGTTTATGCATATAGTCAGCTTTAGTAGATACTGCTAGTTTTCCTAAGTGTTTGTACCAACTTACACTCTACCAGTAGAGGGTTCAACATTTGCAAAACTTACTTTTAACAATATTCTTTTTAATTGGTTACAATATAAAATAGAATGCAAATTTACATGAATTTTAAAGCAGTACTACGTCTTCAAGTGGTTTCACTGTGGGGGTAGACAGGTTTTTGTTACTCATCTAGAACTTGTTACACCTCTTATGAGTACTTGATTGGAAATGTTTGAAAAACAGTATTAAAAGATGACATAATTCATTTCCGTTTTATTACTCATTTATGAGCTGTAATTTGAACTAACGTTTTCTGATTAAGACAGGGTACAGATAGTAATATGATTACAAACACAACTATAAACTCATATTTGTTGAGTACTTACTCTGTACAGGGCTCTAAACACTTAGCTGAACCTGGGAGCCAGAAGATGACTTTTATTAGAGAAAAACTACAGACCTAAAATGGTATCATTCATGCTAAAGGCCCATGGTACCAAACCTAGAGTTAATACCTGGTCTAATTGCAGTTTCAACCTTTCCCGGAAACATAATTTTGATCAATCAGTATGGAATTTTCTGGTCAATCATCAATAATGTCAGGTGGGCCCATCTCCATCTCCACTCCCCAATACGCACACAGAAAAGGCAATCTTCATAATAAAAACCCTTCCCACAGAGAAAAGACGTCCTGGTCCCCAAATAATCCTTTCTTTTCTTTCGCTGATAGCACCCTTGCCCCAACCTTCTTCCTATAAAATCCTTCCATTTTGTACAACTCCTTGGAGTGCCCTTCTAGTTGCTAGATGGGATGCTGCATGATTCATGAATATAGCCAATTAGATCTTCAAATTTACTGGCCGAGTTTTGTTTTCTAACACGTTGAATCTGACTCTGCTGCCAGTGAGCAGTCACTTGGCCTTTCCATCCCTCAGCTTCTGCATCTGTGAAAGGGAAGACATGGGACCTCTGGGTATGCGCCAAATCAAATATCGGGTGGGAACCTGTTCCCGCAGCCTGCTAGGTCTAGCCCTGCTGTAATATCAGAGTACAGTAATGGGACAAGCCACCTACTAACACCCTCACCTCCAGATTCCGCCTCAGTCTTCACCCTTCGGCTTTTATTCACCTCAACTACCAGACATCAAACCTGCCCATAAGAGGTCTCATGCAGTAGAAGGGAGTAACTTCAACCCGTCAAAACTCCTCTCTTATCTCCTTTTCCGGGAAAGCCAGATAGAGAGAGCCTGCCACCCTTCAGCACACCGGTTCCTACGCCCTAAACGTTCAAACGGGCCGCTCTGGTAAGACCGACCAATCACAGCCTTCCTTCTCTCCCTGTCCGTCGCCGGCGCTGTCCAATCAGTGCGCATCATCTCCGGGCGTCTTATGCAGTGGGGTTCAACCTCCCTTCTGAATTCCCTTGGTACCTAAGGGCAAAGAGGAAAGGCAAGGGATGTTGAGGCCCGAGCGGCGCCATCTTGGCTAAGGGAAAGACTATGGACCCTCAAAAAGGTTTTCAGGAGAAAGACTATGGACCCTCAAAAAGGTTTTCAGAGGAAAGACAGGAAAGCTATAGCGATTCACGCATAGCGGACGTCTCTTTTTGGGAAGCACTGAGGGGCTCTCCCATGGCACCACCCGGGACCCGGATCCCGGCAGAGGAGGGAAAGCCGGGGCCATGTACTTCTCCCCCAAGAAGGGAGGATGTCTGCGGCCCGCGCAGAGTCCTCTGTACCGGAAGTGATGCGAAAGAACCACGGCCACCTGGGTCGGTGAGGCCCGGCTGTCAGGCCTGGCCCCCATGGGAAGGGCGATTGATGGCCCCAGAGAGGAGTGGCCTGGAAGTGTGGGGCACTGAAGAAGCAGTTCTCCTTTCGGGTTCTCAGCTGAACCTAGTGTTTCCCCTTCACAGATTTCCAGGCCACAAACCCACTTTTGTCTCTTGGGTAGAAGGAGAGAGAGGTGGAGGTGTGGAGTCAGGAGGCCCAGGATTCAGAGGGTGAGAACCCAGCAACTGTCGCAGGGAAAGGTCGTAGGTACTTCATTTCGAGAACCCTCTCCTACTCCCCTACTAGGATCTTCAGCACACACCGTCCCCTCCAAAGCCCCATGGTGCCTCCCTGCATCTCATCTCCAGAAAGATACCTAATTATGTGGATCACAGTGTAATGGACAATGCCATTAATCAGAGGTCTTAAAGAAAACTTGTCTTCCTTGTAGCCATGATGTCATAACAAATGCTTGTTCCCAGAAGGTGTTCCCGTGGAAGCTAGAGTTCAGTACAAGTGTAGACTTTTTGATGATGGCCTTGAATGGCACGTTGGGAGATCGTTTAACGGCCATTTTGCAAAAGGATCATAAACAGGTTCAGGATTGTAAGCTCCATGAAGGCTAGGACCACCATTGCCCTTAATGCCTGACAGAGTACGGGCTTGATAATTTTGAATCTTCATTTACCTCAAGTTTTCAGGGATTTTCTGTGTTAACCTCCAGACGGTAGAATTTGCTTTTACTCCTGGCTAGCTTTCAGGGCTTCATGAGGCCCCTTTGAGCCTCACTCTCATAGGGCCATATACTCAGCTATTTGTGCTGCCTTCAAGGGAAAGTCATGGTCTGGAACTTGCTGCTAAATTTCAAATTTTATCTTTTTCCCCATCTCAGGATCCAGGGATGGAAGTGAGGAGACATAAGGGCTGAAGGAGAGTCTAAAACAAGAGGTAGAGCTTGAGGGAGCATCTCTCAAGGACTGGTTGCCATCTAGTGTGCCACCTGGCCCCAATCACAAAGCTGCCTTCCCAGAGCTCTACTGGAATTTTAGGCAGAGCTCCATTAAGCCTTGGCTCAAGGACACTCCAAACCACACACCAACACACTTGCCCAGACTGGCCATAACTTCAGCTATCCCTCCCTCCTGGCCAACCATGAGCAGGTCCTCTCTGGGGAACGATGCTTCCCCTGTAACCAGTGTGAGGCCCGTTTCTCCCAGTACAAGTACCTGCTCCAGTATCAGTTCATCTACACAGGTGAGCAACCCTATTCCTGCCATGATTGTGGGTGATGCTTCTGCCAGAGGGGTTACATGGCCATCCACAGGCAGGCTCACAATCGGGAGAAGCCCTACCCTTGCCTAGACTGCAAGAGTTGCTTCACTTACTCCTACCTGCCAGCCATCCAGCAATGCAAGCACATAAGGAAGAAACCCTACAGCTGTCCTAAGTGCAGCCTGTGTTTTGCATACACCTCTCTGCTGGCTACCCATAGACGCACACATAGGCGAGAAGCCTTACCCTGCCCTGACTGTAGCCTCCACTTTACCCACTCTTCTCTCTTCCTCAGTCATTGGCACATCCACTCTAACAGCTGGCCCTTCCTCTGCCCCGAATGTGGGAAAGGCTACAAGTGCAAATATGCCCTGGAAGCCCATCAGTGGATCCATAGCTCTAGCGAGAGGCCAAGGTGACAGTAGCCTGCAGTAGGGCTTTCAGAGTCAATCCCTGCTTTGAGAAGCCAGGATCCCCCAGTTTGTTTCTAGTACTTTCCAGATACACTTTAAGAGTGTAGGTGATAGAGTTCACATGAGGTGATAGTTTTCTCTAGAAAGGAAGAGGCAAGGTTTTTGTATTTGGGGAGTAAGGAAAGGAAATGGGCATTTAAGGAAAACAAATCTCTGTGTTAGGAAGTGAGCTGAGGTGAGGGGACACAGAAGTTCCTTTGAAAAAAAAGAGGCTGGAATCTGATTGACCACCTGAGGGTTGAACCTACTTTCTGAGGTTCCTGCTCCCACTCCTAGTCCTGCTTGAAGTTACTTCACTGCAAATCATTCACCTAACTGACTTTTCTTTCTGGATTGTTGTCTCCCTTAGAGCAGGGGTCCCTAACCCTAGGCCACGGACCAGTACTATCCCTGGCCTGTTAGGAACCTGGCTACACTGCAGGAAGTGAGCGGCGTGTGAGGGAGTGCTTCATCTGTATTTAGGCAGAGCTGCTAGCATCACCACCTTAGCTCCACCTCAGATCATCAGGCATTAGATTCTCATAGGAGCACTGGTCTCTGGTGCCAAAAAGATTGGGGACCACTGCCTTAGAGCATTCTGGTCTGTATCTTTCCTGTTTCTCAGAGATGGGGTCCCTTAGATGTGACAACCTCTTAAAGGAGCTAGTACCAACTCTGGAATAGAGGTACACTTTGGGCCTGTCTCCACTGGGGGAAGCTCATCCAAGGATTGTATTTCAGTCAGTGCAGGTGAAACATCTGGCAAGGAGGCACACGTGTTATCAAGCCATTTTTGGCACTTTTTGATCTTGAAGAACTAGAGGTGGTCATGGAGAGGACAAAGCCTTCAGGTGGGGCAGTCTCCTGCCCCATGCTCACTCTGCACACAGTACACAGAAATATCAAACTTAATAAATTTAAAGGTTTTTTCCCCCCAAAACTTTTATGAATACAATGTTTTTTTCTTCTACAGATATCTGCATGTACCCTGGGTTTGACATCTTTTGAATAAAGATGTATTCATGGACCACAGCAGCTGGAAATATAATGTTAGGTGTGTTTTTTTGTGTTTGTTTTTTGTTTTTGTTTTTGTTTTTAAAGAAAGAGTAAAATACTTGTAATTAGAGTTGAAAAGTCAAGGCATAATATCTTTAGTCTAATTTTTTTCTGTAATGCTTATATGTGTCAACAATTGAGAGGTCTTTCTGACCCATTTAGATCTGTTAGCCCTACTTTAGAACAAGAAACTATTGAAGGAATAAACAAGGAGGTGGGTAGGACTAAGTATGTCTGCGTGCCAGGAATAGTGCTGGGTGCTCAAATATTCTTGAACAAAAGACGGCTCCTCCGAACCTTTGAGTTCCAAAGATGATTATTAATGGGAAGTGGGTGTTATTTCTACTTCATCACATAGCCTCTCCTAAATTGGTAGACCGAGATTCCAGGTTCAGCTCAGTTCCCACTAGCTGGGTGCCTTTAAGCATATTATTCAACATTGCTGAGCCTTAGTTGTCTCACTTGTAAAATGGAGCTAATGTCACCATCGTAGGACCGACTGAGATAAAATGTGAAGTCATCTAGCATGTCTTTTTAGTTTAAAGAACAAATAGAGCTGCCCCCCAACATTTTATTATAAAATTTTTAAAAGATTCAAGAGTTGAAAGAATTTTATGGTAAACACTCATGTCCATCACTTAGGTTATGCAATTAACCTAGATTCTTTAATTTTGCTTTATTTACTTTATCACATGTCAGTCTGTCCTTTCTACTCATTTACCCATCTTATTTAATGTATTTTAGAGTAAGTTGCAGAGATCACCCCTAAACACTTCAAAGTAAGGCTGAACTTTATGTAAGAAACTTTAGCTCTCCTTTAAAGTTCAGATACACCCTATTATTGATGAGTAAAATTTATTAACCAAAATTATCTCCTGTACATTTTATAACTTTTCATAATTACCTGTTCAAGATTCTTGAACAAACATTTACAATTTGGTGGGCAATAAAACAATTTGAAAGCAAGAAGAGCATCTTTATATTTTTATAATGATTGGCAGGAAAACAACATGACAGCAGCCACTTATGATGGAACAGTTTTAGTCTTGAAAGTTTGTTTAAATCTGACTAGTTAATAGCCAAGTTTGTCCTTTAGATCTATCTTCTTAAGCATTCTCCATCCCTAGTGCAAAGAGAATCAATTTACAACTTAGTACCTGAATAAAAAATAGTATTTTTTGGTCCAGGTGAAATATTTTATAGTTTCTCTTTAGGTAAAGTTGATTCTCTTTAAAAGGAGGCTCATGTCTAAGGATATATTTTTCCTTATTCCATTTTTACACTATTCACTGCAAAGAGAGCAGTGAGGCACCTCCAGAACTCAAAATTAAAGTTATAAAATAAGCATACAATTGTATAGGTGAAATCAGAAGTCACACTAAAAGTCAGAAAGTATTCCAGGTAAAACACAGCAATAGAGCCAGAAAATATAAATACCGAAAAGGCACTAGCTTGTTGAGCAAAGAACATTTCTGAACACAAAGAGGAGAATCAGCTTGTGTGCTAGTGCAGGCAGGAGAACCAAACAAGGAGTGATTCCAGGACCAGACTGGGGGCTGCTGCCAACAGAGACCTCGTAGGTCTTGTTTGTCACCTCCAGTGACCAGCCACATGTTGAGCGAATACTGTCTGGCATCCTTCCTTATTACAGAAATATTCCAAACATGAGAATGAAGACAGCTAGTACCTATAGTCCAATGCCACAATCCATTAAGATGACCCACCTTGAATAAAAGAACAGGAAGATGTAGAGTCTAGGAAGCAGAAGATACAACCCAGGAGAGCAGGAAGAGAAGACTCTGAGTAACAGCTGAGGCCCACTCCAGTTTGGAGAGAAAAGACTGAGGGCTCGAGGAGGGAGGTTTCTCAGGAAAAAAAATGGAGTTTTGAGATTTGATGCCATCCTTGGTAATTTGAAACTTCAAGAAACAGAAAAGGCAAATAATTCAAGGAGAAAAGAAAGAAAATTCAAGAAAAGTGAACAGTTGATAGGAAAGGAAATATAGAATATATAGGAAATATTATTTACAATATTATTGTGTT